TATATATGTAATATCAAAGCAATTGGACTTGCGGTTTTTAACAAGAAGTTGAAAATATCACTTTTTACCAAAAATGACAAAAATATTCACCAAAATTAGAGAATTGAATATATCATCATGAAATGAACAAATCTGAAAGAGGTCTACCCAAGGTACATATACACCAAGTATCAAAGCATTCAGGCTTGTAGTTTTCAAGAAGAAGTTGAAAAAGTAAAACATTGACACGAACGACGACGGACAATCACTCATATGATAAGCTCCGCTCGACAAAGTCGACAGCGGAGCTAACAAAAATGATTAAAATCATTTAATAAATTTCAAGGTTACTACCAATCATGATACTGTTAAATAATTCATATTCATTGGTATTTGCGTACAATATTTGGATATTGGAATAATATTCATTGGGTTTAAATTCCTGGGTTTTACAGTGAAAAAAACATTACATAATTTAATTCATCTGTAAATATCACAAAATTATATTTAATATTTTTGTAACACTGAAACAGTAATTGTATCATAATATAAGCATGTTGTCACCAAGGCAATGAATTTGACATACAACTATGTAGTTTTTTGTTTATTATAAAATTACAGAACAAATATTTAAACATTTGGTGACCCGCTGTTGACTTTTTTTAAGCATTAAAATGGTACATGCACAAATCACTATTTGGGTGTGGTACCACACAATGCGTTAAGAACAACCCATCCAGTGTACCGTTTCTGGTGAAAATCCATGAATAGAAAACATTAACAAGCCACAGTTTCTCACCTATTGTTAAATCATGCACTGGTTGAAATCTTTTGTCTGTGAACTGTAGTAATAAACATGACTTTCCAACACCTGCGAAAGACAAAAAAAAGCTTGTTAATTTGGCTACCGTAATTATAAGAAGGTACATCTGCCAATTCATCAAATTTCTTTTGTATAAATGTATCACTAAGGTACAGTATGAGGGTTGCCCTGTGTTCTCATTTATTTCTTTGATTGGAAAACCAGTGAACATAAAATCCAGCAAAACAGATTGTCATCTCACATTTCACATTTACGTTCACTGCAAAAATCTACAAATTATTTCATTGTGATTTTTTGAATTGTTTTAACAAATTCTGTGACAATTACTACATGTGCATGCAGACATACCACCACCTGTTCCAGCACTAAATTGCAAATAAATTTCAAATTCAATGTATTACTGTGCATAACAAATTTGCTTTTATTGAACGGGTCAATTTGTTTTGTTGATACCTAAATATTGAAAGAGAATGATTGAATAATCTGATTTCCACACAGCGCGCCCATATGCTACAATTTGTATTCAAATGATATTAAATATTCAACAATGATTTACTTTTCAAAAACCCACAGAATTTATCATACAATTGTATTAAAAAAAAACAATGATTTTATTCAGTTGTTTTAGGTAAACATAATAAAGGGATTGTATGTGCCATATTTATTTTTTAATTAAAAGATCAACTGTATTCATGTCTATTTTGCTAATTGCAATGCAGATCCAATCTTTTTAATCAGATAGAAGCCTTCCAATATAGAAATATTAAAAAAAAAATTTAGAATGTGAACACAATACATATGTATAAAATGCACGAATTACAACTGAATAAATTCATTATATTTACTTAATATTACATTCGTATGAATGTTGCTAAGTTTACACAACGATACAGTAAGGAAAGAAATGGAAGACTACACGCAATAGGTGACAAAGAATATATTACCCTGAACACAAAAACAAAACAATTTTCACGTTATACATTATAATCTGAAAACAAATTTAAAACAGACTCCAGTTTTGCAACTAACCCTACTCGACTTAGTAAAACGAAAATTACTATGCAGATGTTACATATACGCATCCAGGAAGTGGATGGCCAATTCCGTGATGTGAACATAAAATAGAAACGCAGACTTCTACATGATTCCATTTAGAGTAAAACGATAATAAATCTAGTAAAACACTGTTATGTTCTTTTGTAGTATCAGCGAAATCAAAAGCTATGATGTGTTGGAATCGAAATAATAAATGAATGAACCGATATGATCGAGGTCAACAACACAATAATACTCGTGGTGATGCATTCACAGTAAATACACGTTTTACTCTGCTTCTGATTTACCGCTACGACGAAACGTTGATCAAAAAATTATTGGCAATTTTTTTTTTATGAAAACAATTCATCGCAATCAATTAATATGTATATATACAATGCGAAAACAAAGGGTACACAGGCTTCTAATATGTGGCAGCCATTTTGACTGCACTTCCGATGTGATTGCGACGCTCAGCCAGAGAGAAATTCAATTAATTTCAGGCGGACAATAGTTCAAAATGAGCAATCGATTAGCAAATAAACGCACAGTAGATCGGACTTACCCGTGTCACCTATAATAATATATTTGAAGAGATATGCGTAAGACATTTTGTTGTATTTTTCCTATCTACCTCTGCTGCGCTACGTATCTTCGATCTTTGCCAAGTGTCGATGACGTCATTTAGTTCATACGCATGCGCTACGTGGTACAGTAGGGCATGCCGGGAGGTGGCCCTTTATAAAGCCGGAAACAACGATTTTTGAGTTATATTGCATGAATTTGATGTCATGAAACGTTGGCGGTATTATTTAGTCACAGTAAATATGCCAGAGAACATCGAATTATTGTGAATAATTCAAAGTTTTTAGCTGAATTTCGGTTATACATTTTTTGGAGGGAATGAAAACGGAACTTGTAGTTGTTACAAAGGTCCCGTTTTAAAAATAACGCATAAGACCAGCCAAAGACCGGTACTATTTTATTTGGTACGTACACAAACAAAAGTAGGACAATGTCCAAAAAAAAAGACAAAAGACATCACCACAAGACTAAAATAGATCTAAAATACAAAAAAAAAACAAGCAAAGCAAAGTTTGTAAAGATAATTGAACTTGTCATAACTGGAGAGAATTTCAATGAATATATCATCAATACTGAAATTTTGAAAAAGTGGCTCATAATTCAAGAGAGCGGAGGGAAATTTCTGTCAACATTCTTTGATAATGCTAGTTTGACAATGAAATAGGTAATGTTTTTCATCTCCAGTCTTGTTACAATCAC